AATTTTTTTTTTGTAACCTTTGCCAGATCTGTGCCTTGCCACAATTCTGTCTCTGAGTTCTTCAGGCAGTTCCTTTGACCTCATGATTCTCATTTGCTCTGACATGCACTGTGAGCTGTAGGGTCTTAGACAGGTGTGTGGCTTTCCTAATCACGTCCCATCAGTATAATCAAACACAGCTGGACTCAAATGAAGGTGTAGAACCATCTCAGGGATGATCAGAAGAAATGGACAGCACCTAAGTTAAATATATGAGTGTCACAGCAAAGGGTCTGAATACTTATGACCATGTGATATTTCAGTTTTTCTTTTTTAATAAATCTGCAAAAATGTCAAAAATTCTGTGTTTTTCTGTCAATATGGGGTGCTGTGTGTACATTAATGAGGAAAAAAATGAACTTAAATGATTTTAGCATATGGCTGCAATATAACAACGAGTGAAAAATTTACTTTCCGTACCCACTGTATGTACTTATTTTGCTCAGTCTCTATTCTTGTTTCCCTGCAGCCTCAGTATGAATGAGATTTTTTGTTTTTGTTTTTGTTTTTTTTGTTGTTTTTTTTTTTATCCACTTCACTTCATAACTGCCCTGACAAGCCCCATATTGATTGTGCTTCCAGATTAGAATTGATTTTGCTCTGCACTGTATTTTCCTTTCTGTTTGGTTCTTCCTGGTATGATGAGCACTCTTTGGTGACCATTCATCAAAACGACAGTTTGGACTTTTAGCCCCCAGGAAAAAAAGAAACCTAACAAACAAAATGCAACAAAACAAAGAACTGAAGAACAAATCAAAACAAGAATTCAGAGGAGTTTATTAAAAATGCACTGAGTGAGTTTTTTCTGTTTGCTGATTGGTTTTCCAGAGACTACAACCTCCCCCATACCGTCCTCCAATGCACCACAAAAGGCTGAACCTCCAGTGGGCAGAGCTGCCAGGCTCCTCACATTTTTCTCCCCTTTGCTGTTAGGAATGCTGCTGCTCTTCATGTGGTAAGAGAACACACAAACACACACACTTATTATATATGAACTGATAACAAACTCAACCATTCAGTCTTATATCAGCAAGTCATTGCATGTCTGTCACTGTTAAGAACATATTTAATAAAACGAGCTAACAACGACTGAGCTGTTTCTCTTGTTTTATGACCCAGAGGTTTGAAGTAAAATCCAATCCAGAGCCGTCCCATTTCATTAACTTTACAGAATTTACACAGTAAATCCTGTTGTCTCGTTGAAGATGTAGATGTTGAACGCTGAAACTGCAAAACAGGAGGTGCCTTTTGCACCCGGTTTGTTCAAAAGAGAAACACTGACAACATGCCTATAAAAACATTTAACCATGGCTGCAGCTCATTTTAACTACTGGGTTTAAACTGGTTTTTGTTGGATAAATCTGGTAAGGCCATTAATCTGTTCCTGCATGTGCAATTCACACATTAGTGTTGATTTGTTTTTGTAATATACTATTTAACTTTTAAGGCACTCCAAAGATGGATGACAGGGTAAATGGATAGATAGATAGATGCCTGTACAAATGACAGAAACGTTATAAAGTGCAATCTGATCCACTGATGAAAATATGCCCAATTTGTGCTTCTCTTTGTCTAGATGTAAATGTCTTATTCCTGAAGGGAAGTGAGAAGTAGGAGGAAGAAGAAGAGGCAGAGGAGGCTGGTCTTTTTTCTATTTTGCACATGTTTTAAGGATATGGTGCATTGATCATTTCTGTCCATCACAGTTTCTCGCCAAGATTACTTAGACATGAAATCAGACAATGATAATGCAATTTAGCATTTTTGATTAATGGTGACAAAGAAATTCCTCAGAGGAACTTTTGGAAGCGGCCGGCATCATCATCACCATCACCAACAACAGCAGTGACAGGAGCAGCAACGACCAGAACAGCAGCGGTGGTATCAGCACCAACAGTCTCACATTACCCTCTGCTGGCTCTGACAGGCCACAGCAGACCGGTTTGTTTGGCAGACTGCAGTTTGGTTTTGGAATCTCCTCCTCAGATGAGATTCAAATCTCATGACCTTTTTTAGTAATCAATTGATAGTTGTAATTTTAACTGTTTTTTTTTTTTTCTAAAAGCGCACCACCGCACAGACAAACACACACTCATATAGAGCCCGTGTGTTTGTGTGTGTGGTTATCATATCAGTCTCCATACAGCGAAATCATCATGCCAAAGACTCAACTGCACCCCAACAAAGTGGTTCCCAGACAATTCATTGAGCTTCCTGATGCCTGTGCCTGCCTTCAGCATGGGTTGAAAACCCCCAGAAAGCTATGTATGTATGTGTGAATGTGTGCGCACAACACTTGATCAATACTCTCTCAAACAGTATACAAATCGAATCTGGGACAAACCTGAGGAACCCTGCAGCTCCTGTTTGTGTAAAACTACAATACCATTTAACAAAGAAGCCACAGAAACATTCGGTCAGATTGTGAATCTGTTCTCCTCCGACGACTGAATCAGGCTGCTCGGAATCTGACTGCTCTTTACTTGGACTAACACACTGAAGAATCCAGTATCGGTAGTCTGGCTTATTTAGACACTTAGCTTTACATTCTGCTTTCAGCAACTGATATGGAGGACCTGGATTGGAAAAAACAAAAAAAAAGAAAAGTGGATTTGAGGCTGAACAATTCTTTGCCCACCCACTTTTGGTTTTTGGTTTGATGTTGTATTGACAGCGACAAAGTTGGTAATTGAAATGAGCTATGTTGAATTTCCATTCTGCTCTGTGCTGTGATATACAATAACATCCACCAGTTTGCTTTCCAAACCCTACGCCTTTACAGAGATAAAGAACAAATGTCTTTTTTTGCAGTTTACATTTCAATAGCCAATATCACACGTTACTATTATGTTACTCAAAGGAATATTGATGTGTTTTATTGTATTTGGTTTTTGTCTTTTTTTTTTACTTAATGGACAAATAATAAAAATACAAATATAGGGTTTTAGTTTTCTTTTCTGACATTCATAATGGCTTAATTCTCCTTGATCCTATTTTGTAAACTATGATATGTAACTTAACAATGAAAAAAAAGTTTATTATTTAATAATAATAATAATGTATGTATTAGGATTAGAAAGTCGTAACCTGTACCTGGGGTCTTTTTTATAGATGTATATACAATGACAGGTTTCAACCATTAAATGTGACCATTTCACAATGAATGATGACACACTGCATCATACTCATTTTGCCTTTTGTACACGGAGAACACAAAATATCAGCACCACCGGTTTTCCCAAGATAACCGCAAGATGAAGGTGAGGTGTCAATAGCACGGCAACAAGACATCAATTTTTAAACTGGCATGAACATACAGCTGCAGTAACCTTTCTTTCTAATAACAGTGATGACCCATTTCTTTTCTCCCACATTCAGCCATAAACAAATGCCACTTCATTTTAAGTTTTCCAAATCAATGCTTCAGTTTGGCAGGAAAGGAGATGTATATTTACAAAGTCAGATGAGGTACTATATAGACACCTCATGGGTAATCTTTTGCACTGTTTGGCTGTGATATATCATTCTCTCTTTACTTTCTTTTTGTTTTGACACTTAAAATCTATCCTCAGTTGATACATCAGCAGAGGAGAACCTTCAAATACAACTAGAATTATAATAAAAAACAAAACCAATTTCAGCCCGTGCATTATCTCTAAAATGTAAAATTATGCAAAACTGTATCATTTTACAATAATTGTATTATTTTCACATAACATGTGCACACAATCTTTTTCAATAATGGTAAGGAATTGCCTGAACAAGTAAGAAACCTGATAGTAAGACTTCATAAAGATGGGAGAGGCTATGAGAGCATCTGTAGCCTACTGAGCCTAATCTGTAACACAGCCATAACAGTAGTTAGGAGGTATGGGAAGATCCGTACTACAACCAATAACAAGCTGCAGTGTTTGTCCTTGAAAAATGACACCATGCACAATTCACTATTTACACAGATTCACGTTGTAAAACAAACAGGTAATTGCTTCTGACTTGGCACAAGGATTATCTATGAAAACTGGTATTTCAGTCACTGATCAGACAGTGTCAAGGAGACTGCAGGAAGTCAGCCTTTATGAAAAGCTTCCAAGAAGAAAATTATTAACTAAAGGACACAACCCTGCAAGATTGCACTGTGCCAAACAACATGAAAAGAAGCCTGATGTCTCTGCTGCAGTACAAAAGGTTGACATTTGTAGATGGCACTATGAATTCAATTTTATAACCAAATATTGAATGAAAATCATGACTTGCAGTCTCAAGAAGGTGGGCAGGATAGGATTTTTTCTACATGTCAATGATCACAAATACACTGCAAAAACACATTTTTAAAGAAGAAAAAGTGAAAACAAGGACAGCATGTCTGGACACCTCTGGCTTATTTTGAAGCATAAAGTAGAGCAACAAAACCCCTCCAACAAAGATCAGCTGAAAATCATCATTTGTGAAAAATTGGAAGAATATCGCTCCTTTGACTTTTGTTGCAGTTTGTTCTTAGTATGGACTTTTCATTATAATTTACTTAGTAAGCATTCACATTTTTCAGATCATCTTCATTCTTCTCAAGCTTTGGTAAAAAACTAATCAAACTGTATTAAATGGACAGGAATTGTAATTAACATTGTAGTAATTCTGACAAGGAGTGCAATCACTTTTGTTGCATGCTGTAACTCTTGGGTCTGTCACACCACGAGGTTTACGATCTTAATCTTTGTAACATCTGCACATCATCTGTTACACTTGTATTCCCCTTTTAAGTATTATTTCACTGTAATCAAAATCATTGCCTAACCTTAAAAGAATATTTTGGTTTATAATGACTTGGATCAGATTTTTTTTTTTTTGTCTGAGGTGGTGGGGGTGGGCTGGGGTGGGGTGATTATGATGTTATAATAACTGACAGAATTACAGTATGTGTTAAAATGGAAAGTTCCTTTAATTAACCATACTTATGGATATTAGAAGAATACCTTTTCTCTGACAATATCAACATCCAGTCAAATACACTGAACAAAAAAAATATATATATATATATACAGTGCCTTGCGAAAGTATTCGGCCCCCTTGAACTTTGCAACCTTTTGCCAC